TTGAGACAAAGAACATTGACTATTTGCGCTTTTATAAAGAACATATACATTTTTTCTTGTTATATGTTAAATTACATAAAATACAGCCAGGGGCTATCTTTTTTATTATAAGTTTTTTACCTGCCTTTTTAAATTGCATTTACTACAGTTTCTAGTAGAATGGTTGTGAATTTAAGATTTTTTTAGTAGCAATGGTACTTGTTTCTTTTTAAAGTATTTCATACAGTTCTAGCAGTAATACCAGTTTCTTTTGAAATTAGAACGTGCTGTTACAAGGAAAATTAGTTTCAGTTAGACTACTTACGGCAGTTTTAGGCTGTTCCTGTTCTTCATAAATTGCACGAGCTGGTTAATTTTCAAATTTAAAAATAATGTTGTGAATTGCAGATTTTGATGGTACAGGGCTTTCGAATGAAAACGAAAACGTAGCGGTTACATCGTTGGCCCTACTTCCAGAATAATATCATTTAATAATTTGAATTTTATGTTCAGTTGTAAAGGTTACCATTTTCCTAACTGGAAATATCAATTACTTTATTTTTTGGCGAATAAAACCAGAATTAGTATTTATTTATTTATTAACGGGATGTTTCCATTTTTTACAAAACAATTAACAACATAAAATATCCTAACCATAACATAAATACTAAAACTAAATATTAAATAATTATTAAATATTGTTAAACAATTATTAAATTACATAAATTAAATTTTTATAAAAATAATTTTAAAATGAAATTAATATCCCCAAGTTTTTTTAGACTTAATTCAACGAAAAATAAAACTCGACGATAAAGATATAAACAAACAAATCACGACAGATGACTCGACTACACGTCACATTAATACCAGTCGGGTGTCACTAGCGTTCGGTCTGTTTTCAATATGGCGATATGGCCTGCGCTAAATGATGCGCGTACTTTTTCCCGCCTGTCGAGTGTCCATACTATTTCTTTTTTATACTATGGTATTACAATCTGATCTTATTTCTTCCAACAGTATTTTGTAATATTCTTTCCATTTCGATCTTGCTTAGGTATTTATCACCACTTCCTTCCCTTTGTGTGATGTCCGATTTTTTATAAATGGCATACTATATTATTTATAATTTACAATATAAACATACCAAAAAAAGTTTTGTTTGTAATAATGAAATTAAACTACATATAGGAAGGGGTAATATCATGAATTATTTTTTGGTGTTTCCTTGTGATTTAAAGTGAAATTGCGAGCAAAAATTATATTGTGATATTTATATAAAACGGCCTTTTTAAAGGCTATTTACATACTATCATTATTTTTAAACGGATGTTCTTAAGTTAAAGTTACATAATTTTATGTATTTAAATTAACCATCCTCTACTGATATCTGATATGTCATTATAAATGCGAGAGATTACAATCGTCAATAAAAGTTTTTTCTGTACCTTTTTTATTACGAAAGTTTTACTAAAGTTTTGGTGAATTATTGTTCTTTGTCTTGTGCTGCTCTTAATATGTCATTCGAGTCCATTCTGGTGTTCTCTTTTAAGTTCTTCAACCATGAGCAGTTTCTAGTACTTGGTTATATTTATTTATAATATGTATAATTTAGGCTATAATTAGCCTTATATAAACACGTATCTCTGGCATTTATAAATAAATCCTAGATAACTAGGTAAGTTAACTTAACATTTCATGCATATGAACTATTCTTCTCTATTTATAATAAATTCTGTCCATAATATTTTTTATAATATTTAAAACTTCCACATCGCAAATACTTTCAATTTGTTTATTGCAACAATTTGTTTTATCCTCATAAAGGCTGCTCTTGACATTTCCATTCTGCTTCAAATTTTTATTTCCCGATCTACATTATGTTGTTATCCAACAAATAAGATATCTAAATATTTTTAATTATTTTATTGACTGGTTCACTTACTAAAAAACGGCTGCAGGCGGATGAGTTGGAAGGCAGAACCAAAAATTTGGTCAACGATATGAGGATGAGAAATACAAGTAAAGTAAGCACTTCATTAAAGATCCATGGAAACATGCCCAATTAGGTCAAAAAATCATGGCAATGCTCAATATTAAAATAAATTTTAGAGTTAATCCTCCAATTGAATCTCCAGTGAGGGTAGTTTTGAGTACACCAAAGGTAATAAATTGAAGTGCAGAAAGAATATTAAGATATGCAAATGAAATGTCAAAACCTTATTCAAAGAAAAGTGGACCTCAGTAGAGATGAAGAGAATGTATATTGAAACCATGAGAACAGCAGCGCTAAGATGGCCAATTTATAAAGAAGAACAAGTGGAAACTTACAACGTATACTACTTAGGTATGATATTTCTCATGAATATGGAGTTGGAGTAATCGTATCACCCAAAGTTTGCAAATCCGTTTCTAACTTTACACTAATATCAGGAACTGGCTAATACAAGTACAAGACCATTAATATAAATATAATCCCAGTTTTTGCCCCCACTGCAGACAAAAAAGAGTAAAAAGAAATCGAGTTTTATTAGAATATCAACAGAAATATACAGCAAATTCGAAGACAGGAAGTGCTTATCATTATGTAATTTTGTGATGCAAAGCTTGGGGCTGAACAGAAGACGCAGTAGAGCTACGCACATGAAGATGGAGTCAGAAACAAGAGAGAAAATCTCCTAGAAAAGTTCGCGAAGTACTTAGAACTATTTCTAGTCATCTTGTGTAATCACCTACACAATCTTCAAATTGCCACCTCGAAAGTAGAACATGTGAAGATGTCGTATAAATCAAATATATTATAGCCATAACTACAGAAATATGTAGTTCGTAATATAAAGGAAAAACAATAAAAGGCGTATAAATTAATTAAGAAAAAATCATGAATAACAGATGAGATCCTAAAGCTGATGGATAAAAAAGAAAAAGCCAAAAATGACCTGGCCAGGTATAAAGTGATAAATATAACAATGTAAAGGAAAATTAGATAAGTAAAATAACAAGAAGCAATAAACCAAAATTAGAGTAAAATAAGAACGTGGAAGTAATATCTAAAGAAAGTTGAAATGCTGCAGAAAGTTTAGTCTTAAATCACATAGCTAAAGAATGGTAAATCAACATATATAATACACAAGTATATAATAAATATAATAAAATAATAATATATAATATAATATAATATAATATAATATAATAAATAATAATAATAAAATATAATTTTATTATTATTATTTATTATATTATATTTTATTATTATTATTTATTATATTATATTATATATTATTATTTTATTATATTTAAACACTAAAAATACTTAGGTGTTACACTTGACAGAACGCTGAACTTTAAAGAGCATCTTACTAAGACTGCTGCAAAACTCCGAACTCAAACAACATCCTGCAAAAGCTCTGCGGCACTACATGGGGCTCCTCAGCACCCACACTTAGATCGACAGCATTAGGACTGGTATACCCCGTAGCGGAATACTGTGCACCAGTATGGATAAACAGTCCACATACTCACCGTGTTGATGTCCAACTCAACCAAGCCATACGAACTATATCGGGCACAATCAAGGCCACGCCCACTTACTGGTTACCAGCTTTGAGTCATATAGCTCCACCACCCATCCGCCGGGAACATGCCCTTGTCAGCAAATTTACAAAAATCAATACTGCTCCTGAGCTCCGCTCCCATGTCGGAACTTACGCCAGAGACATAAATAGGCTCCGTTCAAGACACCCGCCTCTAAAAACAGCAAAAAGGCTAGTAGATCACAACTTTAATGTAACTGAACGGTGGAGAGAACAATGGGAGAATAACGCTGCACCAGCTAACTGACTCCGACTCACTTTTTAGATGGGGAAAAATACAATCACCAAATTGCGACTGCGGCGCCGAAAGGCAAACAGTAAAACACATGGTAGAGGAATTCCCGATTAGATCCTATAATGGCAACCCTTCAGATTTCCTAGCTGCTACAAAAGAGTCAATCGAGTATATTTATAATCTAGATGTTTTTTTGTAGAATAATATTTTTATATTTACTGTTGTTTGAAATTTATATCATTTATATATATATATATATATATATATATATATATATATATATATATATATATATATATATATATATGAACCTGTGATGTAGCCATACGCTAAATAAATAAATACACAAGTAGAAAAACTTAAGCGTATGGATAACAATGAATAACAATGAACAACGAATTAATAGCAATAATTACAAATATACTCAACAACATATACAACTCTGTAGAAATTCCAACAGAATGAGTAAAGTCTAAAGTTGTTAGACTTCCTAAAAGACAAGGAGCCAAGAACAGTAAAGAATACTGTACGATAAAATCCAAGAGTCGTCTCCTAAAACTGTTCACTGCGGTAATCTATAAGAGAATTTACAAGTTGTGTGACAAGGTTAGCCATTTGATCAAATCAAAAGGTTTCAAAAAGTACTGAACACTATCAAATCTCGAAAGCTACAGCACTTTGGATAGACTTTGCAAAATGAATCCAGATATGCCTTATTACAAGCCATCCTGTAGGGAAAAATATTTGAAGTGCTAGGTCCAGGAAAAAAAATAAAATCTTGGTTAAAGAGCCTCAGAACCTAGTTCAACATAACGTCTACGTAGCTTTTCGCGTTGCTGTAGACAAGATAAAAAATGTTGTGATGATCGATAGCATTCGTCACGGATAGATACTTAAGACACTTGCAGTAGGTCAAATTTTCAGCAACACGCAGCGTAGCTAAAACATAATTACTGAATTTACTTTAGTAAGAGTTGGGAATGAGATTAGTTAATCGACTATATGACTTTTATCTATATTTTGAACCTCAATTCTTAAACTAACGATATAATACTACAAGACCGAGATTATAGTCAAAAGTAGATTTGTTTATACAATATTTGTGAGAATAGTCTTATGTTTAGATATATTTTTTTTGTAAATTCAGAATAAAAAAAATGTTGCTGCGACTGATTGATTTATTTTGATTTCAGTTCACAACAGTAATATTCAATATAGTAAACTACAAGGTAATGGTCAAAACTCTATATTACGAAGTAATCTTAATTGGGCAACACTCAAAGAGAAACTTAGAAATTGGTTTAAAAGGAAGCCTTACTACATTCACAAATTAGGTTCGCCTACAAATATTACTCAGAAAATAGCCCCTGGGCGAAGAGTTGGTAAGTTTGTTTATTAAAAATGATTTTATATATCAATTAGAATTTTTATACATTTCAGGATTGTTATCGTCTCATGCATGTACTTAGTTGTTTATTAGTTAAGTTGCTTCTCCTCTTTTCTAACTTTGCTTGTAGCACTGACAGTAGTAAAAATATTCTTATTCCACATTTTTGGATAATCTTACTTGAAATAGTCGCCTCATAACAAAAATTCAAGTTGCTTAGGAAAAATTATCGTCAAAAATTGTTTAAAATATTTTTTTAACAAAATGTTAAATTTAATTTTTTGTCGGGAAAAAGTATTTTTTTTAAGCAAAAAAGATCTGTAGTAACTTTTCTCTAAAATGTATCGTTTTCGGCTTATAAGCAATTTAAGGTCTAAAAAAACGCAAAAATAGACATTCGCAAAGCTCGATATCTAAGTGAAAAATTAATATTTTTAATATAACCATCAGAGATAATTAATAACCAACAGACATATACCTATATCCAAAAATAATCAAAGTAAGATAAGAGTAAAATAATTGAAAAATAATCAAAGTAAGATGTTTTGGCTCGGTAGATGTAGGTAACGAGTAGTATTATGTAAAATAGGTCTAGTATTACGTATAATAAGAATCATCCTGAAATACTTTACACCCAAGAGAGCGACGCAAATAAAAACAAAAATAAAATTCAAAGGACTAAATTGGGAATCCTTCCTTCTTAGAGTGCCACCTACCGACGGAGGTTGGCACTCATAATGGCTATTTTTATTTTTGAATTTGCCGCTCTAAACAAATCAATCGATCTGCATTGATACCAATCACGTAGATTCCTCAACCATGAGTTCTGCCTTCGGCCAAGAGATATTCTTGCTTGAATCTTTCCCTGTATTATGAGTCTTAAAATTTTATATTTTGGTCCCCTCACCACGTGGCCTAGGTATTCCAGTTTTCTGGTTTGTATAGTGGTGATTAGTTTTGTTTCTTTACCAACTCTCTCCAGTACTTCTTTATTTGTAATTCTATCAGTTCATGATATTTTTAAAACCCTCCGGTATAACTAGAGCTCGACAACCTGGATTCTTTTTAAATTGCATTTTTCTAATGTCTAAGTCTCAGCTCAATATAATAATATTGAAAATATATACCAGCGAATGGTACGTAGTTTGATCTGCAAATTTAGATTTTTGCGCGTTTGGAGTGGCTTCATTCGTATAAATGCTAATCTGGCAATCTCTATTCGCCTGTTTATTTTTGCAGTATGATCATTAATTTTATTGATCAAAGTTCCCAAGTACTGATATTTTTTTACTTGTTTTATCACGTTACCATTGATTGTCAATAGGTGACGTATATTTTGTGGTCTTTTTGTAATTAGCATGTACTTCGTTTTTTTAGCATTTATAGCAATTCCCATCTCAGCACTATTCATACTTAAGCTTTCTATAAGATGTTATAGATCTTCTATACTCGTTGCTATGATCACAGTGTCGTCTGCATATCCTAAGTTGTTAATTAATTAGGTAATCCACTGAATGCTGAAACGGAAAAAGAATATCAAAGAGAAGCGCTGGGAATTAAATATAAGAAAACGATAACATCCAGGAAAGCTGGGAAAAACTCAAAAATAACATAATTAACGCAACAGCAGAATTACTTGGAAAGACGAAAGAACCAAACACTAACATATTCAAAAAGAAAACCCCATGTTTTAAAGCGGAAATAAAGACAACAAGTGAAGAAAAAAGAAAGCTTTTTACAATACAGAACACAATAATTACAAAATACAAAACAAATACAAACAGGCATACAACCACTATAAACGAATTAAAAATGAAACGAATACTTTAGTTAAACAACTGAAACGAAAACACTGGCAGAGCTTCTCAAAATAGATGGAACACCACTTCTAAAGAACAAAAAAGGAAGTATGTTAAATAATCATACGACGAAGAAAACAGATGACCGAACTAATAACCACGAAACACATTCAGAAGGACATGAGCACACTACTTTCGATGCCTATTTGATATAGGTAACGATAAAGAAGGAGAAAGAGGTAAAGGAAGCATTAAGGAAATTAAAAAATAGAAAATCGCCAGAAGAAAAAAAATAGAAAATACAGGGGACCAGATTTGACCAAACAAATTTTAAAACTATTCCAAAAAATTATAGTTTGTAGTTATAGTTCCAAAAAGAATATTAATAAGGCCGTATCGTCTATATAGAGCAGAAGTTGGGTGGAAAAAAATAAACAAAAAAGAAACATCAGACAAAAGAAATACTCGTGGCCGAAGAATATAAAAAAATGAATAAATCACGATGCCTATGCATTTTTACTAGATGCACAAGATCGAAACAAGTATGCCAGAATTGCCTTTAGGCAAATTCAGTAAACGAATAAGGTACCTTAAGAAAAAGGTCGCTATTGTATATGATGTAAAACAGTGACCAAAGATATGGAACCCTGAGGAAACCCAGTTTTTGGAGTTAAAGAAATATGAAGGGTGTTGATATATGATCAGATATTTTTCCTTTTACAGTTTTGTCTTTCACATAAGATTTAATAGTTTTTCTGAATTGTAACGGTAACCTAATGTGAATCAGCTTTCTGTATAATGTTGTATCTGTCTCATATTTACACATTGGATATTAAGTTCTTTCGTAGAGGTGAAGTGTTTTCCAATTCAATCGGCCACTAGGGGCTTCGAGATCGGGCGATGCCATTGGCAAGTTATTGGACAATGACAATCACCATAAATAAAGATAACTCAATTTCAGACAGGTATACAAATAAATTAATTTATACAAAAAAAAACATTTTTCCGATCGTCAGCTACAAGAAGGTACTTACAAACTGGATATATCTAGTGTGTAAGAATTTAACAAAGACAAACTGGGTGTTGACCTTTACTCCTAAATATTTTATAGAAGTTACCTGTTTTATTATTTGTCCCTTAGCATTCAAATGTACGTTTATAGGTATCTCTATAGGAAATACTAGAATTTTCTAATGACTTAAGTGCAAAAGTCCACAACAAGAGAAAATAGGAAGACATTACTTGTAGATTACCTTAAGAATGACTATGACTAGAAACATAGCAAAAGCAGTAAATTCAGTAATTTAAAATAAAATCTAAAAGGGATAAAGCAATATTGTTCTGAAGCTAGAATATTTATTCCAACAAAAATTTGTTTTCACAGGAGAAACATTGGTTAACATTTGTTTCATTACTTGTGTCTCATTTTATTTGTTTTGAATAGAAAAACTTAAATGAAACGTTAAATTATCTTATAAATTTAAACGAATTTTTTCTAAGAAAATTTAAAAAATACAATTTGAACTATTTTTTAGAGGAGCGCGAATGTCTTTTACTGGATGACTACAGTGTCAAATCCATGGCCATGGATGCTCCTGAAGATACAGGATCTGAAGCTGGCGATGAATCCATTGTAGGTTCAGATGACGAAAATTCTGGCAGTTCTACAGATATTGATATTGTAGTAGAAGAATATAAAGAAGGTCTTAAGGTATAATAAAAGTTCTTATTGTAAATTATAGAAATTATTAACATTTTTTATCTTCTGTCTTAAAAGATCTTTGTTTAACTATTTGAAACAAAATATCATAAAAGGTAATTATTACGAATCTAAAAAAATCGATCAGGGTAATATTTTATTAATTATTTAATTTAACAGATCTTTAAGACTTTGAGGCCCATACCTTTAAATTTATAATCTTAAAAATAAAAAGACAGTCAAGATTTGATTTCACATAAAATGTGTCTGTGTATCTACTTATACGTATTTCGCCCTAATAGTGCTCATCAGAACAGCCATTCACAGGCGTTCTGAACGTAAAAATAAATCTTTTCTGTCTTAAGAAGCAACTCTAACATGGCTTTGTATACAGATTGAACGAAATAAATTCGGAACATAGGAATATAATGTATTTCGGCTCAATTCTGCTGTAGCTGGTTGGCCAACAAAAGATTGTCAAATAATTATATTATAAAAAATCCCATACTTCAGCGGGCTGCTGGATTCTGAACTCATAAAAATTGAAAGCTACACATAAATCTACGATTATGCTGTCAAACCTGTTATAGTCCAGGAAATATAGCATTTCACCTCGCAATTTTTTCGTGCGGCGTGGATTGACTTGAAATTTAACAGAAGGTAGGTAATAGCCTAAGGGTCAAAATCTATATCGAACCAAAGTGCGCCAAAGCCTAGGGGGTGGTTGCCACCCCATCTCCAGGGTGAAAATTCTTTTACGTTTTAACTACAGGTTTCGATTAGAAAAGTGATTCTAAACAAAAAATGTGCTATACATTTTTTTTATAAAATGATATTTTTCGAGTTATTCGCGATTGAAAGTAACAACTTTTAGACGAAAAAATCCACGTTTTTTATCGATTTTTCGCGAATAACTCGAAAATGGTGCATTTTATTAAAAAAATTGTAGAGAATAAATTTGTACCTTTTAAAAAGACAAATACAATTACAAATACAATATCAATGTTCAGCGGTTTTCTTCAAATGCCAAATTTAAAAGATTCAAAGTCAAATATCGGGAAAATGATGCATTTTTGGAAGAAAACTCACAAAACCTTTTTTAACGAGCATAAATAGACCTATCATAAAAAAATAAGGTCAATACCTCATTTTTTACGAAAAAATCGAGGAAAACAACACCCTAACCACCCCCATAATTAAAATCGATCTTCACCCTTCTGCAATTCCCTTTGTAGATGTATTGTTAATACGTCCAAGAAGTTTGACCCATTTAAAATGCTTAGTTTTAGAAAAAGTACAGCTTAAAGCGAGAAACGATTTACAATTTCATATTGTTTACCCTTCTTTTTTAAATATGCCCGAAAATACTGAATATATGAAAAAAATAAAAATTACCAAATTGTAGCTTTTTTAATGACTAAAATTATCCTTTATTTAGATTTGTTGTACAATGAATATTTGGCGAGATATAGCCGTTTAAAGCATCGATTTACGATCAAGCACCATCTTTTTCGAGCCCTTTAAACTCACCCCATTTAAAAACCAAGTTTTAATTTTAAAAACCATTTTAAAAACAAAAAAACAAATCGTTTTTGAAGAAACATCTATCGTTAAAAATTAAAGGAAATACGTTAAAAAAACCAGTTCATTTTTTTCCGGAAAATTCCATTAGTATAGTACAGTACATTTCGGAGCATAATAATCTACAAGACCGGTATATTAGCTAGTGGGGCGTTATACATTCGAAATTTTAAGCGTTCTTATTTTGAAATCCCATACAACAGAATAAAACATCTGCTCATATGTCTATGGCTTGGCAATGAAAATATCAGAGCAACAGATTGGGGATGGTTTTTCAAAGATGGTTTGTTATTACCCGTACGCATGAACAAACAACCTGCACCCGATAAATTTTTGAAAATTATTTTTTGCCAATGCAAAAAAGGATGCGGCGTTTCATATGGGTGCAGAAAAGTTGGTTTATACTGTAACTCTACTTGTTCTGGGTGCTCAGGTGAAGGGTGCAATAACAGTCCACCAATAATTGAGGAAGATGATGATGACATAGATCACGATGAAGATGTAATAGATGACGAATAAAATTAATATTATAATTGTTTTACTTATAAATGTAAATATTTTCAACTATTTATGTAAATGTATAAGAATATATGGTGCCTTTTTATGTTGATAATTTTTTTGGTATTTAATTCTACTTTTTTCAATTTATATCTTATAAATTAGTTTATAAAAACTTCAATGTTGTAAAGGGTGATTTTCAAAAGTTGAAAAGTTGCAAAATTTTGGCAAAAAATTGTTTTTACCTATAGCACTCATAACAATTGATTTTTAAGGGTTGAAAATGTATGAATTTGTATTTTAAAGTATAAAAAACTCACTATTTAACTAATCCAAACCAAATTTCACTCATCTTAGGATTTGTAATATTATTTTACAATTTTTGAAAATTAGGGGTAGTTTTCACCCCTAAGAACAATCAGGGTTCATCGGCATGACATAAACTATAAAGCAGTGGGTGAGTTGAGCTTAATTCAAAATTTTTATCCAAATCGATACAAGGCGAAATCATTTTTTTAGAATTAGTAATTTTTTACATTAATCTCTAACAAGGGTTGCTTTTTAAGGGTTGAAATATGATGGAACTCTATTCAAAAGTATAAAATAATCATTATTTAATTAATTCAAACCAAATCTTACCCATATTCAGGTTTAATATGTTATTTTATAATTTTTGACAATTAGGGGTAGTTTTCAACCCCAAAACCCTTCAGCGCACTTCGGTTCGATATAGATTTTGATCCTTGGCCTATTACCTACCTTCTGCTAAAATTTCAACTGGATACATGCAGGACGAAAAAATTGCGAGGTTTTAACTTTTTTCGAGCTTCAAATTCCTGAACTATTATCGCCTCCTTAGACAAACCCGTCTTACGCAAACAACTTTGTTGCGATACAGATAGTTGAACGATATTTTATACAATGTCTATACCCAGGTATGGATTTATTTTTGTCCAAGTTTTATATTGGTCCACTATTTTAAATGCAGTTCAAACAGACATGTATTAAATTGTATGTTCCGTTTTAATTTGGTTCAATCTGTAGACGCAAATAGCGACATTTAATATTAGAATCCGTAAACTAATTTCCAAAAACAAATTCAGATTTTTGCTTTAGAACTGGCATTATACTGGAATTTCTGCAACGCACGAACAAAAAGACTGCATTAATCGTCTAGAAAGACGACCTGAGATAAATAAGTGAGGTTGAAGTGGCACTAACGCAAACCTTGGACTTGGCTTCTTAAAAAACAGGAATAGGTGCCGAACACAATGGCAATATTTCAAATCTCACTTTAACTGTAACTATTAAATGAACTGCTACTATACACTACACATTTTCCATGAAAAGAGACTAAATACAAGAAACATTACAAATTTGATGAACAATTTAGACCCACACTGTAAGTAACTGCCTCTAACAGCGATTTAAACGAGAGTGATGTAATTCTTAAGAATCATTCGCCTCCCAACTTAGTATAAACAAAACATATAACCGGAATATTTATTTAAAACTCTAGAAACTTTAGAATATTCTAAAACTGACTTCGATCAAAGAAATATTGAGGAAAATACGCATCTGTGAAATATAAACAAACTATAAAAGGGTTTATATTAACTCCAGCGATGCAAATAAAAGGATTGAAAACACTCTTAAGTATTGCAATTTATACAAATAGGAAATGAAATACACTAAAGGCATTCTTCGATGTTTTAAATATATACGAGGGGATTTCAATATATATATATATATATATATATATATATATATATATATATATATATATATATATATAAACAAAAGGAAAAGAAGTCTTTGCCGACAACGTTAGAAAACGGAGCTTTCAGGTTTATTGGGATTTTTCAGCAGTGAAATAAGTGTACTCTTTTAACTAAGTTTCAAGCTTTCGAAAATGTTTATTTTCATCATCAGGAAAAACTGAATATAAAGTGCTACTGTTAGTAAAGCATCCTCGAAATCTATTAAGTGAGAAAATTGTATAAAGAGAATAAACACTTACGTTATTGAGGTTTATCTTTCGTGGATGTTCTACTTACAGGTGACAATTTCACGCACCACTCATTAATTGAGTCAATAATTAAAATATATAAAAATTGCATGGTGTAAAAGACCAAACTTGACAATTTAATTTACTTTAACACATAAGAAAAAGACAGTGTTCCTTCTCTTTATACAATTTTCTCACTTAATAGATTTCTAGGATGTTTTAATAACAGTAGCACTTTATTCTCAGTTTTTCCTGATGATGAAAATAAACATTTTCGAAAGCTTGAAACTTAGTTAAGAGAGTACACTTATTTCACTGCTGAAAAATCCCAATAATCCTGAAAGCTATATTATATATATATATATATATATATATATATATATATATATATATATATATATATATATATATCTGAAGGAATTTACAAATGCTACAATACATTAAAGCTATCAATACATTGCGTGCTAGCCGCTATCAGCCATTGTAAATTAGTAATTCTATCAATCAATCTAAATCTTCAAATAAATTTCAAATTGTCTTTTTTTGTCATTCTTTTTATTGTATATACATAGACGATGAACAAAACAATTTATTTTAAATAATATTTGGTTAAAAAATCTTATGTTAGTTATTGCTTAAATTGTCCTAATAATAACGACATATATTTGACATCGATATCGAACGTTGACGGGTGATATATTTCTAAGTTTATTATAAAGTATTCTATTTTCAGGTAGCGACAGTAGGAAAATTTAACGAAGGCAGAAGGTCTACTAGAATAACTTCAACTATTGTTGGTTGTTGTTTAATTTTAGCATTATTATCATCAACATGCTTAGCTCTTTATGTTGAAAGAGTGTTCAGCATCTGCTGGCCTAGTATTGTAGGTAAGTTGCAAAACGTGTGCATTAAGAAATTATGCCAGATTATGTTGTTTTATACAAATGTATACGCGAAAGTATTCTTTGTTATTTCCTATAAAGTATTTAGTTATAAATGAACGAATTATAAATCAATAAAGAGTGACTTTATACTTACCATAAGAGTAACTTTTTATGTCCTGGTGACTCAAAACACATATATTTTTTTCAAATTTAAGTACAGGGGAATTTGGTATTTCTAGGCATGCCAGAGAGATAGACTCCATTTTACCAAGTATACAAAAAGTGTTTATTCCAGTTATATTAACTTTTTATTTATTGCACTTGTTTAAATAAAACCAATTTTTTTTAATTGTTCACAAAAATATGCAAAATTTCTTTCCGTTAAACACAATTTTTATATGATTTAGTTTTAATTATAAAGTATCGATACAACCCAACCTAATCTAACCTAATCTATATGGAAAGTTTAGGAGACGACTGAAAAAATAACCATCAAATCAAGCGCAGGTGCAAAAGAAAATACATAAGAAGTTACGTACTATTTAGAAAAAACCTCATCGAGTCATCGAATAAAATAATGAAACCAAGAAGAAGAGCTAAAGAATAATGACACTAAAGAAAAGAAAAGATAAAATAATGTTTTAAGCATTATTTTTTCTACAAGAATTAGATAAATTTGATCTAAATTGTTGTCACAAAAAAAATGTGAGTTACCTTTGATGCTTACATTAATCAGGAACATGTAATTTTTAATCGATCTGTACCTATATCAAGAAATGTCTGCCACCACTGATAGTGAAAAATACTTTTCAATGGTGAAAGATCACTAATCACTTGCGATGATGAGAAGTTTTTTCTGGTCCGGTTATTGGGTAGAAATCAAACTACAACATTTTCGAAATGTAATCGAAAAAATGTTAAAAATTTTTTACAAAACCTGTTGCTACTTTTAACAATCAAGAAGAAATTTGGAACAACCCACCTAGACAATTTCTATAAATAAAGACTTTTCTAAGAATCTTAAGTAAATCGAAAATGTGAGCTGTATAGACCTACGACTTTTTTTTATTAGTAACTCAATAGTCAAATTTAAATTTTGAAATGAAAGCTTTTAGGAATTATGTCATTATACCGTTTTTAAATTATAGATTTTATGGGATTTTTAAACCGTCACGAAGTCATCACAGAAGACACAACCTAATAACTAGTCCTTGATAACGCTACCTAATAAATAATGAAAGATTTCAAACACATCATATTGTAATTATAAGTACTATTGCGAAGTGTGCGCTTTAAAATTTAAAAAAATATATATCATAAAATCAACCTCTCCTACACCTAGAATATAAAATTAATCTTAGACATATCAGACTTCACCACAATATATATAATATATATATATATATATATATATATATATATATATATATATATATATATATATATATATATATATATATATATATATATATATATATATATTGTTATGATTGTTTCTTTTGACTTTAATCTTAGTTTATTGAGCCAATAAAAAAATATAACTTATTTGTTATCAAATGTAAAATAAACTCCTTATATTAAATGTGTTCGATGGATTCAAATATTTTCTAGTTGTCCTTTATCGGGATAGAGAAGAAGGGTAATAATAAAAAAAATATTATATTACAAAAAAATTCTTTTCCTTTTTTATATGAACGAATAAAACAATTATCAAATTCTGCCGTTATCTTATCAATCAGCATACAAGAAAATAAATCAATATTTTATAATAATAAGATTTTAAATCTACATACATTTATATTAAGTGAAAACCAATTTTACTTAAATTTTTCTTTACTTGAAACAAGAAACAACAGAACTTTAAACTTTTGATTAGCCTAACAAAACCTCAGTTCTTAAATTTGAATGCTAATGGCCATGATGTCAAACAGATCCTTCACAGATATAAAATTCAATTGTACAAAACACTTACAGCTTATTTTCTTATTGAGTTGTATGTTGGAACATACCCAGAAAAGTCCAGTCTCCTCAACGATGTGATCTCTCCTTTTTGGCACCTAGGCTCCTTCCTAACGTCTCTGAAAACCTGCTGCACTAACCAAAATACCTGATTCACTTCTCCAAAAACTCAGCTATTTATTAATGACACAAGGACCTCCTTTTGTCAACTTGATGCCATAAAACTATTTTCACAAATCTTCACAAAATGCCCATGGTAGATACAAAAGGACCTCTTTTAATCTACTTGCTATCTCCTTCTGCAAAACTATTCAATTATTTTCACAATGCAGGTATCCAACTCACGAACCACACCCTGTCTTGAGACAAACGACTGTTTCCTTCGATGACCAAATTATCACTGCCTCTCTCCGTCTCCTTATCAGGCTAACCCCATTACCACTCAAAAACGACTATCCAATCAAAAGTTCCAATCTTGTTTACCACTCTTAATATTTATTTTAAAAATTCTATGTATTATTTGGGAAAGCCAAATTACTGTTTCAGAGAAAAACTAAATAGCTTACTTTAAAATTGGTTTTGTCAATACACAATTTATACATATTTCAAAAGATTAGAATATGGTCATTTAATACTCGATTATACAAACAATGAAAAGATTAACTTACAGGTAAAATGTCTTCTAATTCTAAACAAAGGTTTTTTGATAATTTTGTTTGAAACGGAAAAAGGTCGTTTGCCAAAATAATTTCTATTCTTATCTACACTAAATCTTATTTATCAAACTATTTTGGATGGGTTGGAGTCAATAAAAGGTGACTCCAGCTTTTAATTGTGTTTACAAATATTATCAAGAGCTGCTAAAAAATACAAAATATCTTACAAAGTTAAACTAGAAATAAAAAATTTTGTTAACTCACAAAACAGTTTGATAACAGTTTGACAGATGTAAATTTTTGGCCAGTTGCCACATTTAAGTCGTTGTTTGTTCTAAAAGCTGGTGTTATTTTTTTATTTTTTATGTGTTTGGCTATTTTTATTGATATCTTGCCTGTATAATATCTAATCGAGTAATGTATAAGGTACTAGGTTTTTTATCTAGTGATGGAAATATTAATTTTTGTTTTAATATTTTATTTATTTTGTCTTCGTTGTACCCATTGTTTACTGCTATTTGCTTTTAATGATATCCAATTCTATCTCGAAGCTGTTTTTGATATGAAAATTTCTATTAATCTAAGTAACATGCTATAGTAAACTGCTAATTTATGTTGTGTAGGACGGGATAATAAATTGTGTTTAGTCCTGTCAATATGGGTAGATTTATGAAAGGCGGGGAATTAATCTTTGTTTTTAAGTCTTACAATTTTTAAATCTAGAAAATTTAATAGGAATTGTTAAATTCGTATATTAGTTCCTGTAAGACATACCAGTACATCGTCTACGTATCTCCGCCAATACAAAAACTGTTTAAATACATGGGAAATGACGGAAATCTTTGTTTCTAGATGGTCCATGAAAATATCTAAGAGCAATGGGCTTAGGATTACACATTATAAATCATTCACTGCTATTTGTATATATTTGATTATTAAATTCAAAGTATATACTTATACAAATTTTAAGAAGATGAAAAATTTTAAATGTAATGATTGGATTTGTAATATAATGCTCTGAATGTTCTCTTAGTAGAATAAAAGTTTCTTTGGGAGGAATACTAGAAAAAAGGTTTTTGACGTCAAACGAAACGAATTTGTGCATTCTTTTGTTTTTGAAAATGTACAGATTTTGTAAAATGAAGAGAACTACAAAAAAAGATGTATATTGAAGATAATTCACTATTTACTATTATATTTTAATTTGAATTAGGCTGTACAATATTTTTAGGTAAAGACAAATCTTATTTTTGACTTTTAAAAGGTGAGTAGGTACTCACTAGAATACTCCCTACAAGTCATTATAAAATGTTTATCTAATTTATAAATAATTAGGGAATCTAATAATTGTTTAAAACACTTACTGTCAATGAAGATAGATTGTGTGAATAAATTTTCCAAATCAAACAGAATTTTGCAAATTTCTCTATTCTAGAGGAATATTATGTTTTTTAGTTTTAGTGTTTCCTCTTTTATTTGTGTTTTTACACGACGAAGTAGCTCAATACTAGACTAGTTAATAGATTCTCGTTGTATATTTTGGTTTTCTGTTGCTTCTAACACTTTTTCAAATGGATCAACGAGATGAGTGATTTATTTTGAATTTTAAACTGCTACATTAATATTTTTATTATTTTATCCGTACCAATATGTCATCCATAAAACCTTTATACTAGTTACATCTAAGTGAGTGTGCTAATACGCTCGGCATAGACCTATATGACCTACTAATTTATGTAAAATCCCTTCATAATGATAATGTGCTTAATGTATTTTTAATTCTAGGTCTAATTATATCTAGTTTGGTAATAACTGTAATGCCTCAGAATACTACAGACAAATCAAAAGAAGCAATTTTGCCGTCCATTATATTTCCCTTATGTAATATTGTTTCCATGGCTTTTAGTATTAGTCTTGCCTCTACTATATTTGCCGATATTTGGCAGGGAATAGTATTTTGGTCCCTAGCAGGTAAGTACTAGTATCAGATTAATAATACAGGTTTTTTCTATTTTTTGTTAAAAAAATTTTAATAAAAAATGCCCATTAGCTCATTTTAATTTTCAATCCTGGAAATCGATTTTATAAAGTTTTATCGTACCCATCCAGTTCATTACTTACTGATATTTCAAAACCTTATGAAAAATTACTCCTAAAGAGTCAATCCAATAATGGAAAATAAATAAAAAGGAACAAAAAGAGAAATCATACGATTTTTACCTGGTAAAATCGAATTCAAATTTTTACCACTGTGCTTTCTAAAACTTGCAAAGCAAACAGCTTGATAAATTACTCGGCAAGGGAATCTAAAATTGCATTCCACATGCCGTTTATCATGGTCAAAATTCGTAGTGAATTGATTATGTTTATGTTTATGTTATGGTTTATGGAAAATAAAGAGTTGATTTCCACTGATTAGTTTGGTGTTAGGAAAAACCACTCTAAAATAAATGAAGTTCATTAGATCGCAAACATAGATAAAGATTTGAAATTAAAAAAAATGTCCCACTACCTTCCTGGATATGGTAAAGACTTTCAATAAACTGTGGCATATATATATATATATATATATATATATATATATACATATATATATATATATATATATATATATATATATATATATATATATATATTGTGTTTTGTAAAACTAGAGGTCGCTGGTTAAATGATATTATAAAAATGCAATATTCTGATTGTGAAAGTAGCGAAAATAGCAAATATTAATTGTAAATAAATTAAGATAATTAGCTGTTTACTCATTATTGTTATCTGTACAAAGAATAGAACTTACCTTTGAAATCTTGGTACTAATCGTAACCAGTGAGACGTACTGATAAACTGGGTGCGTTTCGTTTTCTGTCTTGATGGGGAGTGTTTCTTGAGATGGTCAGAAGAACCCACTGGCAGTTTTTAGGTAGTCTATAGGAAAAGTACCTACCCATAAATTAGCGCTATTGTATGGTGCTTTTGAATGGCGATAATCTAACTTAATTTACAGCATTTTGTGTATGCTGACCATATAATTTCCAAAAATAATAAAAGAAGTCACACTCTTTGCACTTAGAAACAGACCCGTGTGAACAACACCCGTTGTAACGGTGAAATAACAGAGTATCCTTCACAAGCTTGGTCATGTTGGGACAAAACTAATATGTTTAGACATGTTAAAAATTACCGCATCAGAAATACCCTTCACCAGTTTGAACATGGTGGGACAAAACTAACAGGCTTAAATATAATGTTAAAATTATCGATTTAGAAATATCCTTCACGAGCTTGGTCATGGCGCAAACAACTAACAGGTACCTACTGTTTTTCACTTCCCAAAACCTTTGTAGAAAAGATATGTCTTTGTATATATAAAAGTAGCAAAAAGTGTAAAATAAAATATGGAATGAGTCGTAGAGACGCCCTTATATAACATGAAAACATTGAAAATGGTTTTTAAGACCACTGTGTGATTTGGTTCGCCAGGAATTTGACCAGAATTTAAGAAACAAAAAGACAATTTAACACCGATGAGTATGTCTATGGGATTAATTCTGCGATACCTGGCCATATAAGCATCTTTATCTTTTCTCATAAAGCTCTGTCCATCAAAAGTGTGATCATACATTGATAAGTTTTCTACTTTTTTAGTAGAGACTAAACAATTTGATACTAGTATTCAATATTTCCCACATTATTGTCATCTGTTTTTACCTAATGACAGAAATTTGGCCACCATAAAAATAATTAGTAGAAAAGACAACCAAAATTACGAACCGATGTAGTATTCCGGTTAACTCCAAACACAGGCAGGGCACTATAGTTCATAAGAATTCTCAAAATCTATTTGCAACTCTGTTCTTTACTCTGAGCAAGTATTATAGCTGTCTCTTAACTTGCATTTAATGCGTAAAATAAATATAGTTCTAGTATGTACACCTACTGCACACAACAATGAAGACAACATAGGGGTCTTTTATGAATCAAGTGGCAATATCTAAAATCTAACTAAAAGCTAGGATGTAAATATTATAATGGGCGATTTAAACGATAAAAGGGGCTAAAGAAAAGTGAAAAATTGTCTAGGGCGATATAAACTTGAGAGGAATGAACTCATAATTGCAAATAACTTGTTTATACTTCCTAAACGTAGATTATAGACATGGAGCTCACTAGCTCACAATAACAACATAATAGTCAGAAATAAAATAGACTATATTATTATTTATAAATTCTTTAATATCATCCAGAAGTGAACATATCTTCCCATCCCTAATTCCGAAAACTCCGAAACTTTAACTATTTACGATAAATGGGGAAACATTCAACATGCCCTTGTGTTATATAGATAAAAAAATGGTCAAACTATTTGGAAAACACAAAGAAAACACAAAGCAAAAGACCTGAGTAAACAGAAATTCAGAAAAACATCTGAAAGAAAATTCTAGAGATAAAAGAAAAATGACGGATGAATGGAAATTAAAGTTCTCGATAAAAAAATATGATTAATTTACAAAACAAAATCAAAGAAATGACAGGTTTTAGATATAGCGCACAAACAAATATCTTTAAAAATAATAAAGGGAATATTATTGTTATATATCATTATAATCATATAATATATTATTGGAACCTGCTTATATCACAAAATAATACCTTTAATGAGTTATACACTTTCGTGTCATCAACATTTTCAAAAATAATATACGGCAGAAAAACTCTTGAATGTGAAATTAGTGATACACAATTTGGCTTTAGAAATGATATGGTCACAAGAATTGCTTTGTTCGACTTAAATATGCTGGTCTATAGATGCATGGATATAAATCAGTACATGAACTTATTTTTTTAAGACTTGAGAAAGACACTTCATAAGGTATAATATAAAATAAAGAAGCACTCTCAGATTCAATAGATGGTATATTTATCAATGTAGAAATTTTGAATAACTTCTGTTTTGCGAATGATAGTAATAATAACGAATAACCACAAAAGGAAAAGGAATTAAAACACGTTTTAAAATAGCACGTGCATCATTCATTAATTTAAAAAGTTCATTTTCAAAAAGTGAGTGTTCTCTGTTCGTCTTTATGACTTGAAAGTGGCAGTCGAAGAATATGCTGGCTTAAGAACTTAAAAGAGTGGTTTGAATGCAATATTGTAGAACTATGTTAAACAACGGTCAACAGGGTCCGCATAGCCATGATGATTTCGAACCCATGATGAAAGGTAGAACTTTTATATGAAGAAGTTTTACAAGGGATCAAAAAGTTTATATTCAAATTTCAAATTACACTCACTTTTTTTCTTCCAATAAGCCAGAAACATAGCAGTATCCGAGAATACTGACGGGTTGGTTTTAACTAAAAGTAATTTTTAATAAAAAATTCTACAAGTCTCCTGCCATTATAGTGGCGAATTCTTCTTATTATTATACCGTCTTCTAACGAAGGTTGGCGATTACTTCTTTAAAAATACCTGTGCAACAGTGAGGTTAGTCCAATCTCTGACATTCCTTAGCCAAGATTTCTTCTTTTTTCCCAAGCCTTTTCTTCCTTGCATGATGACGTGCAGAAGAGAGTATTTTTATCATTTCGAAGTATGTGGCCTAGATACGATGTTTTTCTTATTTTAATTGTGTCCATAAGCTTTCTGCCATGTCCAACTATTCTAATGTACAATTACTCTAAACAATAATAATTCCTTAGCCAAGATTTTTTCTTTCCTCCCAAGGCTTTTCTTCCCTCTACTATTCCTTGGATGACGTGCAGAAGAAAGTATTTTTATTATTTGGAAGTATGTGGCCCAGATACGATGTTTTTCTTATTTTAATTGTGTCCATAAGCTTTCTGCCATGTCCAACTCGTCTTAACATTTCTTCGTTTTAGACTTTTAAGTGGCGAATTGTGTATTTTAAATAAAGTGTGTAATAAATTAAAATTAATCAAATCGACTTTTTCTTAACAGAAAAAAATGCACAAGTAAATTAGTCAAAACAATAATATATCTTACTTCACTTGGTATGTCAGTGAAAAAATCATTTATGACTCTAAATAATCATCCATAGAAATTCCCAGCTCGTTATATATGAGTTAATTTCACATTTCAATACAAAAATAGTTTTTTGTTAATAACTCTAGACTACAATTTCTGACTCGTGATTTTTTTAACTGACCAATTCATTATGTTATAGTTATATTCAAACATAATACTCGTATATTTTTTATTGTAAATTTTTTATATATAATATCTATTTTGTAAATGATTTTAGGATTATTATTATTTTGGAGATGTGATTGCTGTACCTGCGAAGGTCTCTTTAGAAGTCCAAAAGTTCACAGTCAAGTTAACATAACGCCCAATACATCGATGGCCGTCGAATGCAACTTTAAGGAACGCATACCTGTACCTGTGACGGACACCATCTACATAACCAGATGACATGACGATTTCTTGGATGATGAGTTACTTATCTCTGATTCCGAGGAAGATATTTGAAACATGTTTGAGTTATGTAAGGTAGTAGGCGATTCGTAGCCTGATAGTATGCTAATTTATGAGTTTTTCATCTAAATGTTGAATGTTAGCGCACTGAGCAAAAACAATGTTACGGAAATGTTTACTTTTCAGGTGTGAAAATCCTGTAAAATACTATACAAGTTTTCTTTGACAATAAACGTTAAAACTTTGAACAATCAAATACCTGTCTGTTCGTACAATAAATTAAAAAGACGCGTATAACGATTTAATTAAGTAAATAAATAAAGATTTGTCCAAGAAGTAACGTATTTACCTAATCTATAGAATACTCGTGTCGTTTATAATATATAGGTATTTTCTAATAATTCAGCAGATTATCTGTACAACGCAATCAGAAATACAGTCTACAGAACACAATCTCTTAAAACTCATTTCTTTAAGTCTAGATTTGGCCATATTGTGATTCAAAGTGATATGAGAATATTAAGAACAAAAGATATATCGCTTTCACTAGTTTTGTTAATAGTTTATTGCAAAGCCATCTGCTACCAGACTTTCCAATCTTCTTGGCATAGACAAAATTAAATGTCTCATATCACATGAATCTAAACAAAGCTTTTTCAACAACATTCCATTATTTACCACAATTAGTTTTCCTAATATATTTTGACTGTATTCTTCACAGCTTCAGCATATGAGATCTAGTAGATTTTCGATGGGGTTTAACACAGAACTTTCTGCTGGCCGTGACATATTTAAGGATCATTAACGCTTATTTACGACCTAACATTTACAAAAACCTGCCTAATACTCTGGGCAACAAAAAAATGTAATGTTTTGTCCCAAAAGTTTTATTGACTCATTCTTATGGTTGTTTTTACAATGAATTAAAAAATGAAAATAGGTTTTACCTATCACTTACGTTTTTCTTCTGACAGTCGAATATAAATATCACATTTCTTTACCTATTTACAGCTATACGAATATGGGTTTACTACATTAAAAACTGGTGTTGGGAGATTATCTTGAGTATTTTGATTTTGGCACATCTCTTTTAAGTATCCGGCAGTAGTCAGTCAGCATTCTCGGACCCCATTTTCCTTGATATCGTTTTTGCATACTTGAAATACCTTAATGACAACTTTTTCTATGTTCATGACTAACATCTTCAAGATTTTGTGGGAAAAATATAGATTAAAGAAGTGGATTTAAGAGATATGTTGCAGCCTAAATCAATGTAAACTTTCAGTAGATTGTTTATATACTCATTGTACTTGTCATATTTAGTCATAGTTTCCCAAGAAGTTTTTAACCGCTTTTTAAAACAGGTGCATGCATTAAGTCTGCTTTCGAAATTGTTATCTTTTATCAAATCTCGTATTTGTAGACCTACAAAGATGCCCTCTTTGATTTTTGCATCGCTTTGTCTACGAAACTTGTCTTTTTAGTACAAGACATTTTTCTTTTTTTTTTGTTTATTCTTGTCTATAGCTTTGGTGGTGCGTATAGTTTGTTAGGAACAACCAAAGCTGTCTTTCTAACATTTTTGCAAGTCAAGTAACTTAACTGTTCATTTAAAGATCTCTACATAAGTTTCATCTATATCTATCATATTCGATATTTTATAATAGCAGTTTAATATTACCACATGTATCTTTCATGTTTACAGAATGAGCCAACGGGACTAAAGGGAATTGGTTACCGTTGTGCAATAGAACAGCCTAAAGACTAACTTTTGATGAGTTTATAGATAAACGCCATTCTTCTGGTGTGTGCTCATTACCTTAAGAGTTCATTACTGCTGAAATATTAGTAAAATATACGAACTCTGTTGAGAGAAACAATCCTGAAAAGCCTCTTGTCTGTTTCTAAAGTAACGTACCTTAGTACTTTTACCAAGTAACTTCCAATTCTTAAGGCTCGACCCCAATAGTTCCGCTTGTTTTTTATATTCAAATCACGAACGAAGTCATTGGAGTCACCTTAAGTTAATAAATAGGGCTCAGTAGCTACCTCAAAATTCGGATCTTGTATATCACCATTTTCTTCTCGGCGTGGTTCGGAATTTGTACTGTCACTAATTTCTATGGATGTGTATCAAAGATAAATGTCAGGTACTGCACACAAGAATCCGTAGAAGCCACAATTTAAAATTGTTCTTGTATGTTCCAAGTTAACACATGTTACCAAAAAACACTTTTGGTGTAAATAAGTGTATGAAATTTTTAATGCTTAAACATATGTACTGCCTCTTAGTAATGATGACAAAGGATACTTAAAATCCATGTTAAATTCCATAAAAAGCAATACCTATAGTAAATTGTATTTTAAAAACTATACAACCAAAAAGCAATATTTGCATATCAAAATATTATTTTTAAAACCAAATTAAGAAAAGCCAATAATGCGAGAAGAATTTGTACAGCCAATTGGGAAGGATAGGCCATTGTTAAGCATCTAAGAAAGATATGCTCAAATAATTAAACCAGAAATATTTTTTTGTTTAGTTGATTAGAAACGTTAATGAAATATTCAACGGTCATTTACTTACAATTGACATCGAATGTATTTAACGCATTTGCAGCAAAAAAATGAAAATTGACTATATGTCAAAAGTAATATTGACCCTTAGGGTGGCTCTGTTTTGTCAATAAAATCAAAGAAATAGTAATTTCTTATTAAAAAAACTTGGAAAACCGGCAAGAGAATATTAATAGATACATATTACACCTATTCAGAAATACAAAACTTACACTGAAATTCTTCATCATTTTCTGGGCATATTCTTGCACATGCTTCATAAGCTCTTTTCATACACACCGAGCAACGTATCCTTCTATCCTTTTGCATCGGCGAATGAGGAGAACCACTTATTACAGTAGAAACATTCAACATCTTCATCTATGGTTTTTTCAAGTACTTGATGGTTACATTTTTTTTCCGTTAGCATCTTTAAAAGGACAAACTTTTATTTGTTGTTACTTCTTTTACTATCTTCGTGTTTATCATCATTTATTTTTTTCTTAGCTTTTCCTTTTTCATTGTTTCCTTTGTCTCCTTTATGTTTATTTCAAGTTCTAATTCTAGCTTACACAGACTAGATGTCAGTACAGCCGTTTTACCTTTTTTAGATTTCCCCTTTGCTTCCATGAATTTACTTCTCTTTGGCAGAGAACGAATGTCTTTAGAGCTGTTTGCTCCAAATGAAGTTGTTGCTACATTGCCTGCAGGGGAAACTGTTAACTGACAATCGTTACCGGTATGAAGCTGTGCAGTTGAAGTTAAAGTAATTGACTTAACTTGACTTGGCTGAGACTCAGCTGAAGTTGGTCCAAAATCTGGGTCTGAAAATATATTTGGATCGTAAGGAGCTATAGGCGAATATTAAACCTGGAGGTGCACCAGGTTCTCTTTCGTGATTAACATCGGCAGTATAAAGATTCCTGATTGTGTCATGCAAACAACGGTTGTTATATTTCACTCATATCAGTAGAAATCAACCGTCCAACTTGTTTCCGTCCTTTATGCGCCAAGATTTTACTGTTACATTTGGGGACTGTACCTAGACCTGTTTCGGCACAGTTAAAAACACGCATTGGATTGATATGTTTAGAATCCAAAGTAGCTTTATACAAATTAACAAATTGTTTAACATTGTAACAATTAAAAGCATCAGCTCTTATGATTCGAGTTTACGTAATGAAAGACTTGGTGCCGTTTTCGAAATGCGTACACCCAATATAAACCCGTATGTTTTTTTGTTTTGTTGTATGGATGGTCTATTTTATTTTTTTCGGTCAACTGGAAAGCTACGTTACGAAGATCAAGCAAAGTAATTCCGTATAAACGCTTCTTCATGTTTAGGATACAATTATAAAATTATTCTTCCTGTTCTTTGGTAAAAACCGTTTTGTAGAAACCTAAACACTTTTCGTCGGGAGAAATAATTCTTGCTATTTTTTTCTTTGCATGTGCAAATTAACGTTGCTTCCGGAATATCAAACATTTTGCCAACTTTTAAATAGCCCATCTTTCCAGCTTTGACTACCCTGATAGCTCGGATATCAAGGAAACAGGAGACCAGGATTGTTGGTCAGTTTTCATCACATAATTTCGTACCATTCCTAACAGCAAAAGAAGAGTATAAATGAAAAAGTATTAAGAAAATATAATGGGGCATTGTGACCTAATGCTTAATAACTTTTAATGATGACTTCGTTTATATTAAATCTGACAGCAAATGCCTAAAAATAAGTAAGATTGTTTTGCTTAGTGTCCCATTATAAATTTGCTAGAAACCAAAGGCTTTACCGAATCGCCTATTAAGAGCAGTTGTTGAAGTTAAAATGTGATGTGTTTTATATACCTAACAGTAGTTTCACATTTAATAAGTAATAATTAAACTTGTTAATAAATTATTGAAATATAATACTTAATGATATATTTATCTTTTGTGAAATAAAGTTTGCTTTATTTTTCAATTCTGTACTTATTATTGCACCCTAAAACATGTTACTTTGCAGTAGCGATTGTAGATAAAGGAGTTGACATCACGGACGTTTCCATAAGACAGCCTGAAAAATCTGTTGTGTACACCATATATCTATATTTTTTGTGGGTTACAGACAAGTTTTAAGATTAAGTTAAAACTTGGTCCTCAAGCTTTGGTCTAATGTGGGAAACATCACCAAATTTAAATAGTTAAGTGCTATTAGATAACAGCGCGACTATATCATAGATCTTTTTTTGTAAACAGTTTAGTTTAGACCATGATACTATGACTAAGAAGATAAGATATTGCTTATAAGTCGTGACGTCATTGGAGAGTTGCACGTTCGAAATGACAGTTTTTTGTACATATGTTTCAATAATTAATCTTTAATAAATAGTTTGGATAAAACCTAATGTATACGATTATTGTAATTATTAAACCATTTAACTTATTTTCGTCTAGTAATTTC